GCCCGAAAGGGAGGGCGCGTGCCCTGGAAGCGGGTAATGAAAACGCACCTAGTTATTACGCTACCCTGTATATTGCATCAGTACCCGGTGCGGTGTTATTTAATATCCCGGTGAGAAAAGCAGGTTCTGCCTGTCTCTGTGCCCTCCGACACTCGGAGAAGTTGTGTGTCTGAGAAGACGCAGCAATTTTTAGCAAGTGAGGGTACCAGGCCTGTATTCTGAAGGTTAAATGAACACAGCTTTCTTTCCAGGTTAAACATAAGATCCAAGTTAACCTGGCATAGTCCTGGAAGAAAATTGTCACATCTGGGTGGTGCTGTAGCCTCTTCTCTGACTCTTCTCCCCAAAGGATCCCTGTAGCACTAACTGCAGTCTGTTTACCTCTTTTTTTACATATTAATCGACATCTGAGATGTCCCAGGGTTGCTGTGCAGTTCCTTCTAACAAATAAGATGATTTTATTGTTTTGTTTTTAATATCAAACTCAAAAACACTTTGCCTGAATGGGTTATCTGCAGACAGTGCTCTCAGTGCATGAGCTGGGGTATTATTAGTCTTTTTGTTCTCTCCAATTGCTGTGTATTTTCAAAGTAATTTTTTTAAGTAAGTAAGGATCATTTTTACTGAAGATTTCAAGATGAGTGATATGCTTGAATTAATGTAAGTAGAGCCCCTGTCTCAAGTTGCTGTCTTATGAAGAGTTAACTACAGCAGCACACAGCAGCTGCAGGGCTGTACTGACAAGCAGCATGCACAGCTCCATGCTGCTCTTGCCATGTTCGTGGTTGTCTTACTTCATGTGAAGTTCTTCCAAGCATAGGTCACAGCATGGTTAATTTGAGACTTGACTTTACTCTCAAGTGGTTGTGTTCTCTTTCAGAAGTGGCCTTTAACAGCTGCTTTATCGTTGACCTAACTTGGAAATTAATCAAGCACTAAATCCGGTATTGTGCCTGATGATGTGGGAAACAGGCTTCAGGCTCCCTGGTGACTCTGTAGGTCTAGCCTAGGTCACTGGGTAGAGCTCAAGATGATCTGTCCCTCTCCCAGGAGTTCCTGCCTCGTTTTTCCTCCCATCCACAGGACTGTCTCTTAAACTGAACTAAATTGCAATCTTTATACTATAATCTTCTATTAATGGCTTTTTCACTTTTCTTACAGGAGAACTTCCTTTCTTACCCAGTGCTGAATAGATACCCTATATAGACCAACTTACAATTATTTCTCCTGTTTCTGTCAGCTGGGTGCATTCTACTGTTGCTCAAGACCTTGTATTCTCTCTTGTTAATGCCTGCCTGCCCCTAGATAAGGAACACTGATGGTGATTTCTCCTTATCTCTAAATCTCTTCCAACCCATTTTGACCTAAGTTGCTGCCTATGATGCAGAGGCCAAATATCTCCATCACTCAGAGGGAGAGGAAAGAGAGCAGCAAGTGGGCTTTTACCTACATTTTTTAAATTAAATAAGAGCATTACAAGCTTTTCACCTTGCCTGCTGTCTTCCCTTTTACTGGGATATCTTTTGAAGTTAATTTAATTTAAAAAAAAAGTGGCTCCACTGCCAAGATTTTCATATTTTGTGGCTGGTAGTGATGACAGAAACTTAGTCCCAGCTCTCAGAGGTCCCACGACACTGTAGCTCTTAGACCTGAAAAGTTAAGCCTTTTGTAAATCTTAAACTCTTATCATGGTAGGGGAAAAGATGTGGGAAGATCTTTGTAGAAAATCAGGCTTTACAACCAGTCTCTGCTGTAAGGCAGGAAGTTTACATTCTTTGTAGTTACTGGTAGAGCACAAGTAAGGGTTCTGGTAAGACTTTTTTTTCTTCCTCAAGGATATGGAGACAGTCACTATAGAAGTTTTTGTATCTTCTCTTGTTTGATTGCTGAGAGAAATGAATTGCAAATCCACAGGCTGAAGAGAAGCAAAATATGATGTTATAGCCATGTCAATGATTAAATTAGTTTTGCTGTATTGTGTTCTTTGATTCACACTAGCTTGAATGTATCAATAAAAATGAAGATAAGATTATTCTAAAAGTGTTTACCTTTCTTAGCATCCAGTTATGTTCTAGACAAAATTTCCATGTAATTCCAAATGGGAAATTTTCCTAAGTGTAATTAGAAAACTGTATTCAGGTAATATTTTCTACATATTCAGATGACTGAATAAGTGGGAGTAAGGCATTTTTGTCTCCAGGGTATTTTATCTGGATTTTTTAAAAAAGTAAAAGCTTTACAGGAATAGGTTTGTTAAATTGAACGTAAAAGTTAAATGGTTTTCTTTCCAAGTGACATGGTCAGATGGCCATGAGCATGTGCTTACTATTTTTGAGCATCAAATACCGTTTATTTAAACCGAGGAGGGCAATTTATTAATTGATTGCCTGAAGTGGAATGGAAAGTGAAATAGAAAGCATTTACCCAAGATTTATTTTGTACAGTTCTGAAAAGCCACAATATAAAAAACCCCAAACTAAAAACTTTTCTTATTCTCCCCATCCTATACCAAACAGCTCTTCTGATGTGAGAGCTTTGACTGGTTCAGAAATTAACAGCATCTCTTACAGGGATGTAGAAGTCATATAATTTCTTGGGCATTCTTTGCCTTCTTGAAGGCACATGGAATGGGATCTAAACACATTCATTAGGTCCATTGAAATGCATGGATAGAATGTTAAAAATCCTTCCACGCAGCTACTGGGAATGTCATGCCAGGTACAAAATAAATTATCAGTATACTTTAAAAGTTCTAGGTAACTTTAACCTGTTCTTGCTTTGCAAAACTACTTTGTATTCTCACTTCCACCAGAACCACTGTGTTGTATGAGAAACTCTCAGAATTTGACAGGCAACAGGCCACTTGGAGTCCTCACAACTTTCTGTGGATAGCCAAGTATTTCTCCGTATTATTGTACCCCTTAGTTTTAGGGAAATTTTCTGATGTAAACAGATTTTAGGGTTAGAGTCATAATATCATATGTTTGCTCTGCTTCTGTTCTCCCCTAGTCATCTGCTTCTTTTTTTTCCTGTAACCCTTACAATGATAAAAATCACTAAGATTGCTCTTATGTTGCATACTTATGTCCTTGGCTTTCGAGAACAACCTGGGTAGCAATAACCCTTTATTTAGGACAGTGTTTCATTCTTCTCTTTTGCAGGTGTCAGATATTCATATCAGCAGTTTTCGGGATCCCAAACGAGCTCCTGACTTTGAAAAATTCTGTTCTGAAACAATTGATGTGATTCGGCCAGCACTTGTTCTAGCAACAGGTGAGCAGTTCAAAAGTGTGAATTTCCTGTTGAGTGTGCTGTCAAAGGAAGAGCAAATGAGCAAAATTCCAGGATCTCAAGAGAGAACTTTAAAGCATTAAGGTATCTTAAGCAATGGAAGTGAAATTGCAGCTGAAGATAGACAGACTGCTAGAAGCAGAAGAGAATAACTTCTCAACTCAAGAGTGTGGGTTTTTGTTCAGTGTCTTGAGTCTGATGGTGAGTTTGGTGTGTATTATGTGTAACAGACAACCATGCAAGATAGCTATTGTTTTCCCAGTATGTGTTGCTACACCTTAGTCATAACAGTTACCTTCCTTCTTGTCCTGGTAGCGATTCTACATTCTTTGTATTTGAACTTACAGAAGTGAGCAAAGGTTCTGATTAGTTGTTAACAGCTGTTTCTTCTCTCAGAACAATCCCTTGTCATTTGTATGAAATTCACCTATAAAATTTCATTGCTGGCTTCCATTTGAACATATCACACCACAACAGGTGAAATAAACCTTGCATTTCATTTGATAGCTTGATATTGCTATTGGAATGGAATAAGTTTCAACAAGCAAATCAAAAAGATTTTGAGCCATTACTATATGCAAGGCTTTAGAATCTTAATGCTAGACCTGGAGTTTTGTTTCTACTGAGAGTTGCGTATCTAATGCTTGCATTTTAAGTTAAGAATTCAGAAATAGTTAGCATTCATCTTTTAACTAGCAACACAGAGAGGTGTTACAGAAGTGAGAATGGCTTGAACTTTTATTGGAGCTTGAGGGGATACAGAAGGTGTAAAGTTAAATGAAGCTTCTTTGACTAGAATCTTCAGGTATAATGACTGTGTAACAACTTGCTTTGCTTTGGCATGGCATTAGTAAAAGTGCTGCAGTGATGTGGTCGATAGATGTCTGATCAGGCTGCTGCATCTGCATTAGAAGGCATTTACCCTTATAGTGACCTCTTAGACCAGATGCAGAAATGTCCAGATTGCATCAAGGAGCCCTGCACTCACTTACACTAGGAGGCAGGGATTGCATGTTTGTCTAGTTACAGTATTTGTTTAAACTGTGTAGGCCTCTAGTTACATCTTACCTTTGTACACTTTCAGGTGATCTGACAGATGCTAAGACAAGAGATAAACTGGGATCTGAACAGGTAGAAGCAGAATGGAAAACTTACCAGGCAATCCTGAAGAGATCGAGGGTCATGGAAAAAACCAGGTGGATAGACATCAAAGGGAATCATGGTATGAGTGAAATGAAACATCTCTGTCTTTCCTGTGATTGCAGATCACAGAATACAGAGGTAAAGTCATTGTACTCACCAGTGTATTAGTGGCTGTTACAAACAGGAGAAGGGCTCACCATCCATGTGTCTGCTGATGGCACACTTTGCTTACAGGCACTTACTGGCATTTTAGTACCAGAGAAGTAAGAATCTTTTGCCTGGCAACAGGTAGAACATAGTTTCAGATGTTGGTTTCCAGGTCATTAGTTTACATACCCCACTATTTAATGGAGGGGCAAAGTGTAACCTTACCCTACTGAAGAAATGGTTTCAATTTATTTTTTATAGACTTCCCCCCTCCCCACACATTTAATTTAAAACAGTATCACATGTCCAGCAAGTAAAAGAAATTTTGATTCCTTTGAATAGAAAAGCCTCATGGAAGTTTGTACACATTACAGTTGTTGCCATATTCTAAGCATTCAAGCACAAGCTAAGGATCTTGTAGACTGTATAAGCCATTGGTTACAGAAGGGGCAAAAGTAGAAAGCCTAGCACTGTGGGGAAAAAAAAGTGCATGCTTTGTCACATACATCAATTTCCCTTTCAGACTTCTGTTACCAGCCTTGATGGAGAGGATGGAACCCAGCTGCAGTACAAACCTCCCCAAGCTGCTATCTGTTTTACCCATGCTATTCTCTGATACTACTGCTACTTTCTTTTCTGTGAATGAGTTAGGTCTTACTTACAGAGAATGCCCGAGTTCAAAAAGCTTCTGAAAAGCTCTGTGGTCAAAGTGGAGACAGCTTTTAGCCACTAAATGACAATTTACATTCCCACAGCAGCTTTAGCTTTGAATTGAAACTTAAATGAGAAAACTATTGCCACTTTTAGGTTAACTGCATCAAGTATATAATGACTTGTCCTCCTTGATTAGACAGCCTGCTTGTCAGTTGAGCTTTTCTAAAAAAATAGCTCTTTAGCACCTCCTGAGACCATTTTATCTCAATATTACCAAGTAAAATACAAAGGTCAGTGATTAATTTGATCTGAAAGTTTTCTCATTTCCTTTTTCTCTCCCTTACAGATACATTCAACATTCCACACCGGGATAGTGTTCAGAATTATTACAGGTACTTTTATTTGTCATATAGATGCTGTTATATTCAAGGTCAAACTCACTAAACGATGTTCTGTTCTCAGTTAGCACATCCATGCCTTTTCACTGACTTTCCTATGGTCCAAGATCATATTTGCTATTTCCTCTATCTTTTGCATTATCAGAGGAGCAGAATAGATTGAGGAAATAGAGAATTCTTTGTGCAGCCTTCTTATCTCTTGTCCTTCTCTGTTTTGTAATTGAATATATTTGGCCTGGACAAGCTTAGTGTTTTGGGAAGATGTATGGATCATTGCTTTCTAGTCCACATTGAAGGTTCACTAGCAAAAGCATTTGGAAAGGATTAGGGTGAAATTTCAAAGCAGTTCAGCCAACCTAAGAATCTCTGAGTGAAATTCTGAGTCAAGTGAAAAAGTCTTTTCTTATTAATTAAGCATCTTGCTAAACAAATTGGTTCTTATGATGGCTTTGTTTCATTATAGTCTGTCATCATAGCAAAAGAAAGAAGCTTCAGTGAGATTTATCATACTTTTTAAGACTGAAGAAAGGCACAAAGAATCCTCAAAAGCTATTAAGCATCACTAAAGGTAGAACTATCCTACAGAGATAATTTTATCAATCTAATCCATTAATAGAACAAAAAGATTAAGAAAATGTTTAGTCACACTCTAGGAGAGTGAAGATGGGCAGAGTGAAATGTTGTTTTCAATGGAAGGAGAGAAAGCAACGTATGTATTCATTATTGCATGTATTTGTCATAGCCAATACTGGGATAAAAGCTCGGGGGGAAAAAGGTGGAATTAGCTGGCATGTCTTTTAAGTCCTTCCCTGTTTACTTTTCCTTCTTAGAGTATTTTAGGATTAAGATTCAAGAGCTCAATTAATATCAGATAATGTGAAAAAGAATAGCAACCCTTTTTGTGCTCTGTTTTACTCTTTAACTGAAGAACTCTGAAGACATTCCCCAGGAGAACTGGTAATGACATTACCAGGAGAGTTGGGAAGATTTTCTGTGTCAAAAAACAAAACCAGATAATAAGCAAAAAGAAATTATGCCTTCTTTACTATTAATGAGATTTGCTGCAGTGTCTCTGTTTTGGATTCTTTGGAAAATAACTGAAAAGCTTCAATATTTCTTTGCTTCAATATCATATTCCATTAGCCAACAGCTGATTATTTAACAGAGTAACTTAAGAAATCTCTAACGAAATGGTTTAGTCAAGACTTGATGTCTCTAATATTTCTAGGTAAGCAAGGAAAAATTCTTTTGGATGCCACAATACACGCAAGACAGTATCTTTTTTCCTTTGTAAATCTTCTTTAATTAAGAGTTGTGTAAGATCCTATGGTCCTGTCATCTTGCCTATCTGTTGTATGCTGCTGGCTTATCCTTTATCCATAGAAAAGCTCCGTGTTGCTCAGGGAAAGCATATTTATGCTAACATGTTTCAAATGTTTGTGTGCTAACCTGCTGCTTGCCTTAACAAATAGCCCATCTTCTTCAAAGCACTGACTTTTCAATGCCATTGACTTTTAAGAAGGGACCACTGCAGTAACAAAGTGGAGCTAGATCTAATGCAAGAAATCTTGCTTTGATATGCACAGGTAATTTTTGTCATTGCTGCAAGTTTCCTAACAGCAATATTTCCATTTGTTTCGTTAGGAAATACTCTGCGTGGCGTAAAGATGGCTCTTTCCACTACATCCACTCTACCTCTTTTGGGAACTATTCATTCATCTGTGTGGATGCCACGCTCAGCCCAGGCCCTAAGAGACCCTATAATTTCTTTGGGATTCTAGACATGGTATTGTATAAGTCTCAGCATTACACGTTGCTTCCTGTTTTGCTGCTGTAAAAGTTTTTATTTGTTTTCATAAAGAAGAATTTTCTGAAAGATTCACGTTCCTCTAAAAGAGTGTTTAGAATTTTAAGTTATTATACATGTGGGACATTTATTTAGAAAAATGGATTTGTCATTTAACATATAGAGTATCTGTGTTTTCTCTCCTAAGAAAAAATCCAGTACAAAAATGTCAAATTAGGCATTTTAAGGGCACTGTCAGTAATTTCATAGTATTTACCTAGACATGAGCAATAATTTCCTTATATACTGTAAAGTTAAACAAACAAACCATAAACCCCATGCTTTAAAATTTCCCTTCTTTTTGCTTTGTTAGATGCTTTTTTCAATACTATTACAGATGAGAGAGTTGCATTTATCAATAGAATAATGTGAAAGATAATGTTATAAAGAAATGTGCCATTTATGAAAGTGAGGTTTGAACTTCTGAGACCTTAAAAATTGTTATTGTTTTGAAAGGGTGACATTAATCCCAATGTTTAAATCATGTATCAGTTTAGATAACATTTTGCTTCCCTTTGGGGTTTTTTCCCTGTAGTTTGTTGATATATTGTTGCTCGAGATGCTCTTCTGAAGTGTTGAGAGTTCCTGTGTTCTATGAACAGATGTCTATTTTGCCAGTGATAATGGCCTCGAGGAAAAGTAAAATGTTCCTCTAATCTTGTCTAAAGGAGGTTTGACATTCATTAAGTGTTTGAAAAGCACTTGGTGATACTTAGATGAAAGGCAATACAGGAGTGCCAAGTACTCTTCTCATTTTTTTACTATAATCCATAGTGGGTGCAGTAGATTTGCAGACAAACTCTTAGGGAGCTAAGAAATGCAATTGAGTCTAGAGTTCCTGTCCTTGGCTACAGTAAGTCAAGCCTTTGCTTGCTAATTGCCTGGCAGCAGGAGTCTAGAGACCATCATTTGCAGATTTTTGCACAAAACTGCAAGTAGAGGTAAACACCTGGAACTTTTGGAGCATTAAACCTCTGCCAGGAATTTGAAAAATAAACTAAGTTTTAATCAGTGATTTGGATAAATAGCTTAAATAGAAGTATTCTTAAAGCTCAAATTCATACGGGCAAAGGAAATATAACTTCTCGTAAGAAGCCGATTACCTTAACCCAGAAGAGTATACTGAATTCATTCTCTTTCAATATATCTTTGTTTCTGTTTCCTTTATTCATGCCCTTCAGCATTTCTTTCCAGGTAGGAGGAAAAAGAATATGTTGGTGGTTCTCTCAGTTACCCTAAAAGATGATCTGCAAAGTGGCAGAAGAGGATTTGTGTTCTTTTCTGGTTTCAGTTATCTTGCCTTTTCTGTTAGATTTTGAGAGCTTACTGGTTTTGGGAGGTGCTCTGGACAGTAAGTGGTTGATTTAATATTGTAGGTCAAACAAGTAAAGAGAGAAATTTTACCTCCTGTGTAAAGTGTTACTTCTGCTTAACTGTGACAGCAGTGGCTGAGTAATATTTCCAAGATTTAGCATCAGAGTTCATCCAGTTAAATGACTGAAGGATGTGGTGCACAGTTTCTGTGGTCAGTCATGCCTATCAAAGGCCATCTAGGAACCCAAGAAATAGTAGATATGATAATTGTAGTAGAGATGACAATTTGTAAGGTAAAGTTGTTTGTAAAATGAACTCTTTGACTATACAAAAAAGCAGTAGGAAGCTTAGAAATACTGTTTGCTGACATCTTTCTTCATATTTCATCTTTCCTGGGTTAGGTTGCAAGAAACATGTTGAGTGCCTTGCTTTCACTTTCTTTTTCCAATATCGGATTTTAGAGTTATGTCTAGTAGTATAGTTTGTTCATGTCCCTGAAGCAACTCAACTGAGAGTATTCTCTGTTTAAAAAAAATTTAATTAATTGTATTCTTCATTTGTTTCGTTCTGCTTTCCTTTTGTTATCGTTTCACAATAGCCTGTATGTTAAACAGATTTGTTTGGACCTACCTGTTTCAGAATCAAATGACAGAGCTGTCTTTGATGGCAACAGAAAGTCTGCACAGCAACCATACTATCTGGTTTGGTCATTATCCCACTTCAACAATCATCTCCCCAGCCCCAGGAATACGAACATTAATGAGGTAAAGTCTTTATTCTCTGTGTTTTCAGTCTGAAGTACATTTCTTGCCTCTCTTCACATACTTGTCTCTCACTTTTTCAGGTTTTCTGCAGTCATATTTCCTTCCCTCCCAAATAATCACAGTTCTTATGTTCTTTTATCAGTTCTGCCACAGCCTATCTGTGTGGACATCTCCATACACTGCATGGGCTGATGCCAGTCTTGCACAGTCAGCACCGTGGTGGCACTCTGGAACTTGAGCTAGGAGACTGGATGGATAATAGGAAGTAAGTAAACACTATGTGAGCAGATTGTTTTATGAAGCCTGCCTGGTTATACTGTGAGTTCCTCTTAGATCGTTTGGTGAATTTGTAAGAACGATGAGATCTCCTTGACTGGTTATTACTATTAATGCTTTTGAAAAATGTCTTTGTGTTCAAGCTTGGGATCTTTCCCCTTACCCACAGTGTGATAATAAATGAAGTAGTTTTTTTATTAATTCTTGATATCTAGAAATTAAAAAGAGGACATTTAAATGTCTATTTAATAGGTGTTTAGTATTCAAATGTAGATTAATAAATTGTAATAAAAATCAGCATCACTACTTCAAAATACCCATGCTCTACACCAACTGATAGAACTTTGGACACAAAAATAGTCTACCTGAGAAATACTAATTTAGCAGCATGTCGAAAAGTATCTGATGCTGCATGGAATGTACAGTAGTATATTAGCTTTCATTCTGCAGTAATCCAAAGAAAGATACTTATATGCATCCAGGAAAAGAGCACACTGGGGTCTTTGTCCATAACTAGAGTACCTACCCAGACATTGCAGTAATGTAGGTTATATTGGAGTTTTTTAGCATATGTTCATCTCTCTGGTTCATGTGCAAAATTCCTTAGATCATGACATTTGGAATTTTGAGTACTGCTTCCATGATTTGTAATGAAATGAGCTTGATCAGAGGTAATTAGCTGTACCATAATACAGCAGAGTTGGTTACCATACTATCAACTACAGAAGAGAATATATGGAAAATAAATCGAAGTAGTTCTGTTCAGGAGCTTAAGAACCATGAGAATCAGCTGTGCATGCAGTACTTGGTATTAACAAGATTTTTTTCCTTTTCCTTATAGGTACCGGATCCTTGCGTTTGATCATGACCTCTTCAGCTTTGCAGATCTTAACTTTGAAGAATGGCCTGTAGTTCTCATCACCAATCCCAAATCCTTCCTTTACAGCAGTTCTGCTCATGAACCACTAGTCAAAATTCTTTATTCCACTCATATCAGGTACCTAGTAATATCTTGATTTCCCAATATGTAAGCATATTTTAATAGCTGAGGTTCTTTCTTGGTTATAATATACATCTATATTTATACCTATATACACAAAACCTTTTTTTTTTAAACATGCGTGTCCACTGGTGTCAGAATTTACTTTTCTCTGGAAGATAGTTCCTGAGAGCTCTCTTTTTATCATATCTGTGATACAGTGAGATTGTATGGTAGTAATTCATGTTTATTTATGCAGTTATTTCACCTAAAGTCAGTTGAATGTTTTTACATAACCAAAGCTGGTAGAGTTAGATTAATACATAATCTGTGTCATTTATATCACATGTTCATGTTCCCTCTGCTGATTTCAGGATTTGGTTATGTATTTTTCTAAGTGTTTTCCCTATTCACTTCAGACTTCTTAGCCTCTTGTGTTTTCTGTTTTACATCCCTTAGACATATTAGAACATCAGAAGCCTCTGCCAATTGTCATATTGGTTTTAAATCTCGCCATCTTTCCATTTCTACCTTTGCTATTTAACTTTTCATTTATATTTCAAATTTCTAGGCCCTTTTCAACTTGGCACTGCCAAGTGGCAATACTTTTGTTGTTTTCTGGGATCTGTAATACCAGTCATGTCTTCCACTCCTTTTCTCATAAATTCATTTGCAAAGACTGAGAGGTTATATTCTGATTAGGGGGAAAAAAAAAGAAAAAAGGAAGAAAGAAAAAAAAAAAAGAAAACAAGCAGAAAAAACTCCACACCCAAAACCAAAGGACTTTGGAGAGAGATACTGGCAATTTTTAATGAAGCCATCTACAACCATTTGATCCGGTGTCTATGTGTGCAGGAGGATATTTCCCACTTGTGTTAGCAAATGTTTTGTCAGAAAGAGTCCTAAAATTATTTCTGCCAGAACTTTTTGATCTCTGCTACTTTTTTGTCTGTTCCACAGCCAGTTTTCTATCCTATTCTTTTGCACAGTGCCATACAAAACTACATTTTTTCATCTGTAGGAAAGAGGTACCATGTTATCATTAGCCTACAGGTATTTCACTGGTTTAATTTCTAAATCTTTTGAACTCTTAAGTACAAGGTAGAAGAATCATTAGGGACTTCAGGAGGGAATGACAAATCTGCAAGTTCTCTAACAAATCTGTTTATTTTGCTGTTTATTCACTCCTTAGAATTCTGGCATTCTCTCCTTATGTCATCATCTCCGTTGAAGTCTATATAGATGGAGCTCACTTGGGGAATGCACATCAGGTGTCTGGTCCTCTCTACGTGCTGAAGTGGAACCCACAAAACTACAGTGAAGGGTTCCATCACATAGATGTGACTGTCCTGGTAAGGTACCTGTTGACATTCTTTATATTGAATTTTTTGTTGTCATGGCTTCTCCATCACCCTTCTGCACCACCTAACTAGATGATAACAGACTTACTTTCCTATTTGTCTGATTACAAAAACCAAAGCATTTAAGAAAGGAGTAAACAGTGACTGCTGAGCACTAAAACATTCATAAAGCAGTTGGCCTAAAGAAAGCATTCTTATTTTTAATGAGAAATAAATATAATAAGACGAGGGAAGCACAACAAAGCTTAAAAATATTTTATTGTGGGCTATTGCCTAGAATTGAACTTTGAGGAAATGAGTGGTCGTGAGCGCAGTGAGCAGTCACTGTCTTCCACAAGTTGCTGAATCTCTGACAGGATCTCCTTCATATGTAGCATTTTCAGATTATGATCTTATAATCACCAATTTACTTGAAGCTGCAAAATTATCAGTGAGTAATCCTTTGTAGGCAGAAGTATTTAATACAGCAGTGTGCCAGACAGGCATGTGTCAATCAGATCTTTCCAGAAAAGCTGCAGTGATAATTAGGAACTTAAGGTACTTTGTGTACTGCTGGTATCTAATTGCTCTCTTATTGTATATCCATACAGGATGCTTCAGGAAGAATTAGCACACGAGGCCATATATTTGCTATGGAAGAAAACCTCTCTCTTAGATTTGACTTCTGGCCATCTGTTATTCTGCTCACTGACCACTATGTTTTAGTAAGTACTTTCAGCAAAACAGCTGCCATTCCATGTTGGTTTCCCCAGAGCTGCAGGAGGCATTTTCCTAATTCCTGGTAGACTTGAATGCAGTTTACTTTTCCCAGACATGACTCCATTGGAATTCGTAAATATTTCAAGTTTCTCAAGTTGAGCACTTCAAGCATGAATGTGCACAGTGGTTCGTGCAGTCAACTTCCTGGATATAGTCACAAGTGTACATTTTTAGGCATAGATGTATGCACACATTTTGTGGAAGGAGGAAATAGAAAAGGCACTTCTGGAGATAGCAGAAAAAGGAAACATTAAGTCAAAGAAAACCACCGTGATCTGTTGCAGTATGTGTTCTGGCAAGAACACAGGGAAGGTCTCACATCAGCTACTGACACTGCAGCTCAGTATGTGCAAAGAAGGCATGTCATAATTGTTTAGGTGCACTTCTAGAACAACGTAAGAAAGTCCACATGACTGTAGATAGTATCATAATTGGCTCAAAATTATATTAGTTTTGTTACTTAATAAGCAATATTCTATGCAATCTCTTGAACTGCAGTTCTTTTCCATACAACACTCAGAAGATGTTTTGCCTAAGAGGTGTATTTGTACTTTTTCAATGGATGTGTTTTACAAGCACTGTGTTTTAAAGATTCAGGTCTATTACATTCAGCCATTCCACTGAGTTCAAGTCAGTACAGTACAAGTCAAATTACTGTTCAGTTCAATGACACCATCAAGCTTTGCGTGTGTGTTTCAGTTAGAAATCTTTGTACCATTCTGTCTAGGTCCATAAGTCATGCTCCAAGGCTCCTACTACTCCAGGGCTGGCTTTGAGTTAAAACTGTCTTTTCAGGCTCGTGTGCTCTTTGGACTGATGGTGCTGATTCAGATCAGCTTGCTTGTTGCTTTCAGATACCTCCAAAAGCCAACACTCAAAGGTATGAACCAATGCCTGTGCGTTTTAGAGGACATATTTTCCCCTAAACCTTTTATTGTTTATCTGTGTGCTAACAGTATATAAATAATTGCACTGTTAATTGCTATATTTTGCATCTGCTGCTGTGGGGGTTTGATTGGTTTCTCAGCAGCTGCTGTTTCGCTTTTAAGGAGACCTGGAAAACTTCCAATATATCAAATAAAGTAAGTTTTAAAACTTGAGCAGGTATCTTTGAACAAAAATTCAATTGATTGGAGTCTAATGTTTCATTTTAATTTTCTCACTGAAGAATCCAAATGCATAAGGAATGAAATGTTTTATTTTGTGTTAGCCCTGTATGTGTGCTTGTTTCTCTGTAGTTGTCACAGAATTCTCTGTCACTTGAGTGGAGAAACAGATTTCCTTCTACAAAAATAACTTTTGTTAAACTTTGCAAAGAACATGAACAGGATTGAGTCTTTCTCAAAATAATATTAAGACCAGTTGTGTCATAACTTGATATTTTGTTTGTGATAAATCTGGTAAATGAAAATTATTACTGTTAAGCTCATGGTGTTTATTGTTTAAACAAGTGTTTGAACCATACCTTACTAATGAGATTTTTCTGGAAGCTGCCTCCCTTCCTATTCATGTCAGTGTTTGTCCCTTCCTTTATACTCATAATCACATAGCATCCTGAGGTAACTCCAGCAACCACTTGCCTAGAAAACGCATAGATTTTCAGTTGCCTGTATGGAACTCAGCACTAAAAATGAAAGAGCTGACTCTGTGGTCAGCTAGGTCCCTGTGGACCATGACAAATGTTTTATAAATTAGTGAACAAATTTGTTAGAGCTGTTGATTTCCAAAGGTCAAGCCTGCCCTCTGGGGGTTAATTCTTTGTGAGACAAGCAGCCACTTAAGTAAAAATCTACAAACTAACTTCTACAGGAAGGCTCTCTTGATTTCACTCTATGAATTGTCTGCTTCAGTTAGAAAGTTAATGTTTTTTCTGCTGATACCACACACTTGTCAGAATGCTGTCATTTTAAGGCCTAGCCTTCATTTTATCTGAGTTGCTATCAGATCTCACTAAGTAGATTTAATCAAAGAAAATCCAGTTAATCTAGTCCATGCTGACCTGTCTTTCTGGGTTTGCAATTACTGTTTTGGTTCTCTTGCTTTTCATTTAATATGTACTTTCTCCACATTTTTACTCTAGCTAACTCATTTTCTGAGTATAGAGTGGTGGTTCAGTTTTATTTACGTACAGTAAGTGTATCAATTTAGAATGACAGCTTCTTCTGCTGTTTTAATAGGGAGTGTTATATTTATTGGTTTTTTACTTTCAGTTATCACAGTAATGGTAGAAATGTGTTCCTTTGCCTTTCTTCTGTAGACATACCAAATACTGGTTTTATATTTCTTATTTAATAGCATGAGTAAATAATGTGAAGGTTTGTCTCACAAAGACCACTGTTTTACATATATGAGGGTGTGTTGCAGCCTGAATTAAGTGTATTTTTCTTGCATGATGTCTCTGTTTAGAAAAGCCAGGATTACTTACTCTGACTTCGTATTCCCTGCACGTCTTCAGTAAAACAAACACCTTCTATTACTCAATTCTGGTTCTGAATTTATACACCATTCTGGGTAAGTAGCCTAGAGTACTGGAGGACATAAGTTAGTATTTTAAAATTACACACCTGATCCTGCGGAAAATTAAATCTTCTAACACCTTGGGGAATGGGGAAAATCTACTTAAGTTACAAAATCTATGTGGAACTTGAAAAGTCAATGTCCTAAGAGACTAAAGCTTTGTTGTAAGAGCCTAACTTAGAACCCCTGAATGAATTAAACACTTATATTGTTAAATTACTCTGAAAACAAGGTGAATGTTTTTAAATTTAGTTTGGTTTTCACTTATTTTTTGAGTAAGATCTTGTTGTATCTTGGTGTAAAATGAGTACATGGCATGTGCATTTCACGTGATCTCACTAGGATATCTTGGCTCTGATGCTAACAATTTTAGATTATCCTCCTCTGATAGTACTGATGGCAGTCAGTGTAGTATGCATAACATAGAGCAGCTTGCCTATTTCAATTTCTGTGCTGAGCCAGGCTGGAATTGTTTATGATCACATCTTTCATGTGTCATATTCTGGGAAAAAGCTAAAATTTGAAAGGATCGATGTTCTTGCCTCTCTTATAAGGAATGTGTTATATGTGTTATTGAAAACTGTCACAGAGATGAAACTAACTTTAAAGTATTTTCATTGCATGCCACAACTCACTGGTGTACCATGGTATTTTCACATGAGGGATGTTTAGCAGTTTGTTGTGTTGTTCTGCCAATTGATGGGGACTACAGAAGTAACACAGACACCAATGGAAAGAATAGGCTTATTTTACTATTGATGTTTTAAGATAATAGAAAAATTAATAATATATTTACATATAACATTAGTTTACTAAGCTCTAACACAAACAGCACAAACAACAACAAAGACAGTAAGAAAGGTAATGCACCTAATCATTACTACATACAGGAAAGAATAGAGATTAAGAAAGATACATCACCAGTTACCCTAATACTTTATCATCCCCCAGACCTGCAGCCTCTGGTTGCAGCGAGGGTTGGGAGAGCCTTTCCCAGCAATTGGGAAGTCCTGTGCAGTGTGCCCACTCGTAGGTGAGGCGTCCAAAGTCACTGCAAGAGGGTCCAGCCTTTATAGGCCAAATCAATAGGCTAAAAATAACCTGCATTTGTTTTGGTTTGATGGGGAAAACCCCTGGTGGTATTCACTTCTGCCCCCCCGAGGCCAGGCCTTGGCCAGAGCCCAGCACACAGTGGGTGGAGTTCCCTAAAATATTTTGCAGATAGCTGCATGGCCTTGGTGCCTCCTTCACACCAGACCATGTGAAAGTTATCAGTCCAAATTCCCCAAAATAGCACAAACAGTTTGTTTATTCCTAACAATGGCTAACAGAAAAAGCTTAGTAAATCTATATCTAGTATTAGCAGTTTGCCTCGCTAGCACAATTGCGAGGCAGTCAGGATTCATCTATAAGCCAACTCTGGCTTGGGCCTAATGTCCAAGCCCTAGCATTTCATGTGTTGAAGATGAAAACATTAGGCTTATTTATTTATTTATTTACTATTTATTTGCAAGCAATAGAGAAGTCATTTTCCCCTGTGAACTGCTTTGTACTCAGGAGTAGGAAGGACCATGTGGCACAGGGCCATGTCTGTCCTGTTTCCTGATGGTGCTGCATGTTTGGTTTCCTCTCTTGCAGGACCATGGTTTGTGGGTGAACTGGTAGATGGCCACATGGGGGCCTGTTTCTCCTTTGGGGTGTTCGTTGGTGGCTCCTTCTTACAGGGCAGTATGACATTTGCGGTTGGGATTTTACAGGTATGTATTTGTAAAAATTAAGGCTGACAAACTGCTTTTTTCTGGGTTTTTTTTTCTGAATTTTTTTTAGTTTTATAAAGAAAGGAGCCTTGGAAGGACAGAGGAGATTAGTGGCCATGCCTGACTACAATAAGTCTTTCTTGCCTTTCTGCAAATTTTAAGGGCAGAAAGGAAGGAGATTGTGCATTGTTTTCTCAAACTTCTCTTTTCCTCAATTTGATATTGTTTTGGACTCTCTGGATGTACCAGGCCATCTCTACAGATCTACCACTCTGAATTTTCTGGTTTTGTCCTCAGCTCACACACAGGAAGTGCGTCCTGAGATTCCATTTCTGGGAATTGTACTCAGCCCTTAGGACAGGACAGTTTTATGTGCTCTTATCTTTCTATGCCCTCATATATGTTACCCAGAATATTTGGTTTGCCCATTGTCTTATTTTTCTCTGCTATTCTTTTCAGATGTTGTTTTTCAACCTGCCATTGATGGCCTATCTGTGCTGGTGCCTGTTGCTGCGATGCCAAGGTCACAGCTTCCGCTCACACTTCTGTCGCATCCCACGTCTCGTGGCTGCGCTCGTTCACCTGGCAATGACACTCCTCCTGGCCTGGCAGGTTTATTCCTGCTATTTCCTGCTGCGAACCTATGGGACCTTGGCTTTCTTCCTCTCCCCAATGAGAACGTGGCTGGTGGGACTGACCTCAGCTCTGATTTATAAAACCTGGACACTGAAATCATCTGAGCTCAGAACTTACATAGTAGAAATGAAAAACTGTCAGAGCTCCTAAGTACAATAGAAGTACTCCAAGTTCTTTGTCTTAAAAACTGTCAAGGTGCAACCTGTCATTTTGTGATGCTGGAATTCTACGCAGCCCAACCATCTGAAGATGAACATTAATACAGCACTGTGTTAAATGGTAACTGTAGAACAATATGTAATATGTACTTTTCTTGTATGATACATACACAATACACTGTATAATATATGTTATATAATACAGTTACACATTACACACTAATACAGTATACACTGAACTGTGCAGTAATCTCTTTAATAGACTTTTTTGTGGTACAGTAGGGATGTCCATGTAGCTCACAAATGGAAATGTTTGCCCATTATTACTGTGAATGGAGAAATATTTTTAATTCATCAAATTCTTGATTTTTATAATGCTGGGGAAAATAAGCATATATCTGGATAATGAGCTTCAGAAATTGTGCTTAACTCTGCTTTTATTTCAAGATTTACATATATTTTTACAAGACTAACTGCAAGACTAGACCAGATGTCTTTATGAAGTAATAGTGACTGCAAAGGTGCTGTGGTGGCCTACCCAGTAGGAGTTCTATGCTTATACACTTTTTCAGTTCATAATGCTATATATGAGCAAATTATAGGCTGTAGGTGTGTATCTGTGCATTTGTGTTCATGTTTACCTGAGCTGTGGCCTATTGCTCTTGTCCTGGGAGTGCTGGCTACTTAATGTGCTCACTCTCTGGATGGAAGGAGTTAACATTTTCCACTACTGAAGTTGCCAATTCTCCCACACTTGACCAGTGAAAGGACAGTGAATGATCAATGTTGCTGGGATTCCTAGCCCTGGTCAGTGTTCAGCTTTAAAGCAAAGAATGGGGAGGATGTCCTCAGGATAGGAGAGCCTGAAGAAACCACATCGTCTGATGCCTGTAATATCTGTAATCCAGCAGGTCAGGGCTGTGTTTCTGGATCTCAGTCAAATGCACCGAAGAGGCACCTAAGAAGACTCATTCTTTGTTTTCAGTTTTTTCTAAGTCTAAAAGTGATAGAACATTTAGTTACATTTATGCAGAATGCAGTAACTCAGAGCCAGGAGAGCTGAGGTGCCTAGATCTGTAAAGGAGAACACTGGGTTGCTTCACGAAAGACTGCTGTGAGTGAAACATTTAAAATACTTCTGGTAATTTTACCACAACTTATTTATGGCTCCTCAAGAAAAGGGAAAGGAACTTATTTATGGCACCGTTGTAGAAAAACCAGCAGTGAATGTAGTAGAACGTACAGGAAAATAAATTGAATTGGAAGAAATTATTAACTACAACAAAGGCTTTTTGTTATTTCTAAAAGGTGACAGTTTTTCTGTCTTAATTGCTGCTCTTCAGTGATTGATGATGCAATCGGAAAAAGAGAGTAAAAGCTGTCATTTGCATAAGTTAAATACACTGTTAGGAGAATACAGAATGTCATTTGTTGCTATGTACGTTTGTTTTGCAAAGCTGTTAGAAAATCTGAGGCAGAATTTTTTTTTGTGAGCAACACTACTGAAAAATTAATTATAAAATTGTGTTTCACAATTAAATTGCTTTTATGTGATCAAGGAGCATCAGAAGTGTCAATAAAATCCTTCATATCTATACCCTTGACAAGACTGTGTTCTGAAACGAGACATTTTTGTAAGAACCACATGCTCCTAACATGGTTGATGTGTGAATTATATATGTATGTGGGAATAATGTAATAAATTCTGAGAGAAAGGGACTATCCTACAGCCCAGCTGTCACAGTGAAGAGCACACTGTAGAAGCTTAGAACTCTGTCCTGCATAGAAAGCATCTCTGACCTCGTGCTGTACAGACACGGCCATTGCAGCTTTTTATTGCTTCAAAGACAAATAAAACTTATTTTTTCTCATGATAATTCAGATTTTCTCCTTCTAAAACAGTTTTCCAATATTGTAAAACCTTAGTAGGAAAATCCTAACTTTCCTACTTGAGCTGTACACTTTAAGATTTTATTTACTGATACCTTCTTTGAAGTTTCTTGATTCTTTCTATCTGAGCAGTTGTTAGAAGCACAGACTAGGGGTTAGCCTCTGTTAGCCATCCTTGTCACATAGGCAAGTGGTTGGCCAAGTTAACTGTAAGTAACAAAATTCACAGTACAATGTGTTTCCCCTTCAAACTGAAACAAAACAAATGGATTTCACAAAATGCAGCCCATCTCCGAGAACACATCATCAGTCACTTAAATGAACCACTGACAAATGGACAAACTTCTTGACAACTGTGCAGATAAATCTGTGAGCCACAGATTTGTCATGTTATCTGGATTAAAAAAGCTGGATTTGCTCCTCTGTTGGCCTGTGGTGCCCAGAAGGCACCAATCCACGCAGCAGACCAAAGTGAGACCTTATGTTGTCCTGATGAGTTGCCTGGGTTTGGTCCTCTTTCAGAATAAAGTTCTTCTGCTCACTGAAAGGCTGCATCTGTACTGAGGAGATAACACAATACTGTGCTGTAATGTATCTTAGCATTTACATCAGTCAGCAACAGTGTAAGATGGGTCCAGAGAAGAGCAACGAGGCTGGTGAAGGGACTCGAGCACAAGTGCTATGAGGAGAGGCTAAAGGAGTTGCTATTGTTTAGTCTGGAGAAGAGGAGGCTCAGAGGAGACCTTATCACCCTCTACAACTACCTAAAAGGAGGTTGGAGTCAGGTGGGGGTTGGTCTCTTCTCCCAGGCAACCAGCAGCAGGACAAGAGGGCACAGACTCAAGCTCTGCCAGGGGAGGTTTAGGCTGGATATTAGCAATAACGGAGAGAGAGGCATTGGAATGGGCTGCCCAGGGAGGTGGTGGATTTAAGATCTGAAAAGGATCTGTCTTTAAAAGTACTTGATTATGGTGTCTAGCACATATGGTAATCTTCAAGTGAATATATACCTTGAGGAAATCGTCCCCCTACTCAAATGTAAATGAATTCTTAGACGCAGTTAGCATATATGTATGAATTCCAAGATACCATACGAATATGTGTAAACTGTAGGAATAAAGGCTGTGCACTAGATCTGAAAAGGATCTGTCTTTAAAAGTACTTGATTATGGTGTCTAGCACATATGGTAATCTTCAAGTGAATATATACCTTGAGGAAATCGTCCCCCTACTCAAATGTAAATGAATTCTTAGACGCAGTTAGCATATATGTATGAATTCCAAGATACCATACGAATATGTGTAAACTGTAGGAATAAAGGCTGTGCACTCCAAGATAGAGGTGTGCCTGTCGGGAGCAATCCACACCCAACCCTGAAAATAAAGCAATACCTGCTTTCTAATGCCAAAAGAAGTGTTAGAGGGTTTGCTTATCCTGACAATTTTGGTGACAGTTAAACTAGTCATTTAAATATTCCTAGAGAAGTTCCTGAGCACTGAGACTAAGTAGCATAGGAATGATGCACATCTACACTAGTAAATTCTTTTTAACAACCCAAACGAGGCGGCTGCATACAAATTACTTATTGGAAATTGTTCCTGGTGATATCTAGTCCGTCGAGATTTGGACCAAACTTTGCAACCGTTTTTTTGTTAATCAGTAGCTAAAGCTAGGCAGTTATGATTAAGCAATGACATTGTGAAACTTGTAGTCTTGGCAAATCCTTTGTTTCAAGGAAGAGGGAACACAATCCCAAGAGGAATGGGCTGTCTGGACAAGAGCCAGCA